CTCAGGACCCAGCTCTAAATCCGTAAAAGTATATGTCTTGGGCAGATTAGGACCCAGCTGCAAATCAGTATATGTCCTAATCGACTTTCCCCAAGATCCAGCTTTTCAATACGAGTATATGCCCTGGGATCCGCTCAGCACCCAGCTCTTCGCAGATAAAAAATACAATATATAGAGCAGTTGTCCCACACTTCCATAACCCCACAAACCTTGTGTTCTTATGCGTGTCGTTATATTAAATATCTCAATATATATATATATTTATTAAACGGTGAGGACATTAAATGGTAATTTTTACGAGTACAAATTATTGTTAATGGACGATACTCAATGCGCTAGACCTAAAAATTATAGATTTAAAATGTCTATGTTAAGCCAACTCGAAAGCTACTATTGTCTAAACAAAGGAAGACTCTATCACAGACTTTCATTATTTGCTTGCCAAACCCGTAGGCTACTGCACCCAGTATCGTTTATTAATTATTGTCCAAACCACTATGTTTGACCTATTCATAACTATAACAATGAAACTATAGTTAAACACGGGCAGATATCCGAGTTAGCTTTATCTGCCTATATCATTCTTACTTGGATTGCGAGCTGTAAAGACTGATTTAAAGAGTCGCCCACCAACCACCCCATGCTCCAGCCTTTTCCCTGATGTAACGAGATGGTAAAATATGGTACTTGGAAGTAATTACGGTATCTTATGGGCCCGCCTAGGGAGTGATATTGAATTCTCGGGAACATTGAACTATATTTAGATCTATATATAAATATTATCTTCGTTGGATATTAAACGCTTATCGACATTCACTAGACTATTATATCAATGTTATTATGTATTTAATAAAATAATAAATAAAGAATGAAGTGTTTGAGGCAATTGCTCTAGTATGAGGTCGCAATTTTACCATAGACCTCACGTTTTCTTTACGGAATTTGGCAACCTGGCATACAGCCAATTCCCATTTACAAAAATCTCTCTATTTCTGCATATGAGTATATGTGCTGAGCCAGATCAGTGTTCTAAGAAATATTTCCCTGATCATTTTTTCCCAGGGCCCAGCTCAGAGTATATGTCTTGCAGGGCAGGCTAGGATCCAGCTCTAAATGGAGTATATGTTCTAGCCGACTCAGGACCCAGCTCAAAATCTGTAAAAGTATATGTCTTGGGCAGATTAGGACCCAGCTGCAAATCAGTATATGTCCTAATCGACTTTCCCCAAGATCCAGCTTTTCAATACGAGTATATTCCCTGGGAACCGCTCAGCACCCAGCTCTTCGCAGATAAAAAATACAGTATATAGAGCAGTTGTCCCACACTTCCATAACCCCACAAACCTTGTGTTCTTATGCGTGTCGTTATATTAAATATCTCAATATATATATATATTTATTAAACGGTGAGGACATTAATAAAAATTTACTGCGAGACAGTTATTTAAGTCCATTTTGTAAAAAAGCTAAATCCGTAGGAGAAATTTTAAAAAGAACAAAACAATATACAAATCTAGTCGAAACGTTGAATAAAATGTTAACTATTTTCGGAGTGTCTATTGTTTTGTTCTTTTTAAAATTACTCAATGGCAACCGTAATTTTCGTAGGAGTTTCAGTTGCTCCTGCATGCAGAAACCATGGCAGAAACTCAGCAAAAATTTATGGCTTCACAGTAATACTAAAGTAATCCAAATCTTCCCAACTGAGGCATGCATGAGGACCTCTCTGGAACACTCATCCATTGAGACATTTTATCCTTGATGGAAATCACTCAACAAAATATCCGCCAGTTTATATTTGAGGGGCGAAGTTACTTAAAATGCTGAAAAAATGCATGCATGTGTTCCAAAAGATCAATCTAAAATATTGGCAGGTACTTCATTTATGTTTAAAGTCAATTGAATGTACTTCTGTTCCGAATAGGTCTCATGCTTAGCTTGAAAAATTTCAATTAGGCCTACCTGCACCAATAGGATAAGATCTTCATCCCCACCACAAGTCGCTTCACAATTTTTACCTATAAAATACAAAATGAAACACAATTTGATAATTTAGAATTGGGCAGTGGGCAAAAAGGAAGCAAAAAAGGCTTAAAAAACAATTTTTTTATAGGCCTATCTGTGATTGTCATCTGATGGCTTAAACTACTTTTTCATTTCCAAGAACTTATTATAATATTATAATTATAGTACTATATTAATTAATATTTAAATTATATCAAATCACCATTACTAACCTGTATAGCCAGCCTTGCAGGTACATTCGTATGAGCCTAGAGTATCAATACACGTGGCGATTGTGTCATCGCATTGTGGACTAGGTAACAAGCACTCATTAATATTATTTTCACAAAAGATGCCATTGTATCCTGTACCATTACAAATGCAGTATGCAGAACCATTTTGAAATTTACCACAAGTACCTTTGCCGCATAGATTTTTCTTTTCTTTACACTCATCTACAAACTGGCAGCGGGATCCTGTAATGGATCAAATGATACAATTTTTCTACCTTATTGCCAAACAATTTTACTTGGGAAAGGAAGCAAGTAACGTGTTGGCCGGGTGTTGAGCAGTCAACTCACTGGGTCAACTAGACAATCCGCGCATCTTTCGTGCTCACCAGGACCATATTAAACCACAATGTTATGAAGGTAGCTGGTTTTCACCTAAGTCTCAGAGATTGGGGGTTTCAATATTCTCACTCTGGATTGAAGACATTCATGTGAAGAGAGCTAATGGGCCTGGTTTCCTTTCATAGCCATAGGGAATGCTAATGTTTTCAAAACATCTCAGTTTATAAGTATTTTTCTAGTTCATCAGGGCCCATCGATCGCTCCTGCAGACGTTATCTAATTGTGCTGTTGTGATGACAGCCCTGCCATGTCTTTATATATGTATATTGTTTCGTAACTTGTACTGTACAAAATAGAAATAAATAAAATATTCATCATACCAAAATATGGGTCTTGACATTTACAGGAGAATTTAGCCTCCCCATCAATGCATGCACCATTATTCAGACATTTTGATGAACCATCATCCGTCTTACAATCATCGATATTTATTGAGCAGTTTCGTCCCGTGTATGCAGCTGTGCAAGTACATGTGTACGAGCCATTAGTATTAGTGCAATTTGCCCCGTTCTGACATATTCCAGGAGATTCTTTACATTCGTCAATGTCCACATCACATCGGCTCCCAGTGAAGCCACTTTGGCAGCTGTTAAAAATGTTATAACATCATCAGAGCTCGCTGAGGTTTGTGTAAAACTGCAGAAGCTAGCATGCTGCGAGAGTAATCAAGTTCTATACAAATGCAATTAATTGGTGATCAGGTGGAAATTATTAAAAGCTCAATAGACAATAAGATAATAATGTATACCATCAAATATATCTTGATAGTGAGCGCATATACGTCATGTCTTCGAGTTTGTAGATTTATTCTTATGTTTGTTTTAATATTATTAGAAAGTACCGTAAACCGCTTTACCGCTTACCTGCATTTACCATTCAAACAAATCTCACCGTTCTGACAAGATGACAAGGTACAAGCTAAGCAAAACAAAAAATATCAAATATGAGAGTTCGCGCGTGGCGAGTCGTCAATTCAACACCACCACCACCACAGAATACTGCGGATAACAGCCACTAACGTGCAACCTCGTAGCCAGGGTCTTTACCCTCGGGCGTTTGTAAAACCCGGAACCCAACTCGTTCTTTTTTCGTTAGTATCAAGAAAACAAAAGATCACAGTGTCAAGAGAACAAAATACCCAAAAAACTCAATTTTTTCGTACATTACAGATATTGATTAAACATTCATAATTTGATTTAAAATTATGTCTTCATGAATTATTAACTGTGAATAACATAAGTACAGATGTATGTACCACAGAATATCACAGTACCACAGAACACCAGTTTTTTATTTCTCTTATAAAATTTGAAGGAAACATACTATATATACTTTATTTTTGTGAATATATATTAGTTTAAGTTTCAATGGTCATATAAAAACGAAAAATGGATATTTTCATAAAATTCTTAAAAATAATCGGAAAACAACAAATAAAATTCTCTATTTTTGGTGCTTTTTTTCTGCCTAATGCCAGTAAAATCAGAAAGTTTGAAAATAAGTTTGAAAACCAACATGGTTTGTATTCATGCATCAACAGCTTTTCTAAGCGATACACTGACATTTTTACTATTCAGGAATCTCACTGAGTGATCAAATTTACTATAAAAAACTCAATTTTTCAAAATTATTGGTAAACCTAATATACTGTGGTACATATACCACCAGTATTCTGTATAGTGATTTTAGAATTTCCTTCCACTAAATTAAGTTAGCAATATCTGTACAGTGATCATGTTATCACACAACATGACACACCAAATCATCGGTACAATTTGATAAACCGTTCCTTACTTATTGCCGCACTGGTATTCTGTGGTACATTAGGATTCTATCCATAGAATGTCCGATTTAAAAAATAATAGAATCTGCCAAATCTAACCCCAAGACCTCACAGGAAGAAAAAAATAATGAAAAACTGTACTAAAAAATATTTAACAGGCTATGTGTTATATGCATTTGACAAAAGATACGGAACATGTAAATTTGTGTGGTATTCTGTGGTACACACACCTGTAAATAAAATTGTAGACTTACATGGTTTCTGGCAAATATAAGAATAATGTTTTGTGCATGAAACATCATGCCATTCGCCTTTCGGCCGTATCTGCCAAAATATCACACACTTTTCATCCCCATAGGCTGTATACCGATCTGGTTGACTCAATCCCCAGTTTGTATAAGATGGTAGTTTCCCATCACTGGTATAAAATGTATTTGTCTGTTGCTCTTCATGCAGGCCGATCCAAGACTGAAAAAGTTTATTTTCTTCCGCAACTTTCCAGATAGCATCATGTTCTGCAATGTTGCGTGGAAGTACTAGATCTCCACCTTGATTTTGACAAGAAGAATTTGCTCTGGACATCGTTGTTTTTGTTCGATTGAAGTAGTAACATGATGAGACCAGGTGACGCCAGCCGTTAGGGCACAATGACGAATCAGTTTGAGTGCCTAAAATGAAAGGAAGTAAAATTGTTTGGTTGCCTGCTCCTCCCATTGTTTTTCAATCCCAACTCATGCATTCCACTACTAACAACCGCCAAATTTTTGAGATAAGTAGAAGGACCACCGATGAACGGTTTTCACTCGTTTCCAACCATCAGACTTCTGCAAGACCACAAGGTACTTTACATAACAAAAATTATAAACTATAAATAATCCATACCCCGCAGAAATAAGAACGATTATAGAATACGCGGCAAATTTTGATACTGTTTATTATTTGAGGGATACAGTGATACGCAGTGAATAAAAATGACTTAGATATTTAAATTTTGTAACAATAATTTATTTGAAAATTGGTAACAAAACCAAATGAAACACATGTTAATTCGAGCAACTCATACCTTTTGTTGGCTTCGTGTCCTCTTCAGTAGTCGGAATAGTAACAGGAACGACTATAAATATGAATGGAAAATTTGTCCTGAATCAATGCAAATATGACTCTGGGTGTGACACCCAGAGTCATATTTGCATTGATTCAGGACACAGGGTGTGCACATGCACGCACACTTCGTCTCCAGGCGCTTTATAAAATATTTGTATGAAGTATTTAGGATGCGTTTACTGGCGTGCACAAGGCATGAGTCACCGGTGCATCACTCGAAAAAAGTGTACTGTACCTGGAGAAGTTTTGGAATTTTGCAAATCCTTTGATTTTTCGGGATTTCTTGCGGATATGGGGCGAATTAAAATTTTGGGGCACTAGTGATTTTTGCTCCTTTACTGAAATTGATATTTCAATATTCTTGAACTTTTAGGTCAATTAGTGAGATCATTTCCTTTGGTTTGCCTTATTTGCCCCCCCCCCTCCCCCCTTTCCTGGGGCCCAGACCACCCCTTTTGCCACCCCTAGATGGTCCTGCATATCACACTCATCCTTGTTCCCAGGGCCTCTCGGCTGTACACGACCTTCACAGGCCCTGGGATATCACGGAACCGGAAGTGCAAGAAAACTTGCAGTAGTTTCTGAAGCGCATACTCTTGAATTGGGACGCTTTAGCAACCGTAACAACATGATTTGCCAATTAGCTAATGAATTATTAATGAGTGTTTGAAACAGTCATAAATCATTAATACGTATATGTACGCTGCACCTTCGCTAAATTTTTTCCACCTCCCCCACTATTTCCACCAAAATCCGGCCTTGATTTTAAGAGTTGACTCTAAATCCCAATTAATGTACTGCTGCATGTATGTTACTTGTGAGAAGGTAACATAATTCATGCTTTTTGCACGAAGCAACTTATAAACAATATATATATATATATATATATATATATATATATATATATATATATATATATATATATATATATATATATATATATATATATATATATATATATATATATATATATATATATATATATATATATATATATATATATATACCTGTGACTGAAATATTTTTAGCACTTTTTGGTTTTTCACATATCCAAGCTATCTTCTTGACACAGTCGTTGTTATTCCAGACTTTTTTCGACTCTAAAATTTCAGCACAATGTTCTACATCAAGGTAATTTGGTTCCCCCGTGTTCCATTTCGTGATACTAAGCTTATCTCCATTGCTCCAAGCCCAGTGTGCACTAGTGGTACTGTCTTCACTCAATCCGACCCAAAATCTGTGACTTACAGTCCTTGTATGAGTGTATACGAAATTAACTTCATCATTAGTCGTAAGAGAAACCAAATCTGCCCCTCTCTCTTTGCAATATATTTGAGCCGCAGTCCAATTCGATGCCTCATGATTACAGTTTGTGCCAGTTGGTGCGACAAATAAATACCACGAATTGCCCCAGTCTTTCCATTTGTCAGCGCATGTCTGTGTCGAAGCAACTGTGAATGAAATGAAACAGTGTTAGGAGCTGACTACATGAAGAGTTTTTGGCCAGAGTTGAATTTCAAACCGGTTAACCGAGCTGAATTTGTTTTGCGATGACATCGAGAGTTGCAACTCGAGCAGAGTTAAAATAAGATCAACTCGAAGTCTTGATTCCCGAACCGGAGTGAAATCGCAGTCCGGGTTAAAATGATAAAGACATTAAAAGTCTGAAAAATATTTCACTTCCTTCAATGCATGTCTATCAACTTCTCTTGTGCAGACTGCGGTTGCATTTAGAAATTGAACAAACACAAATAAAGCCGTTTTTAACAATTGTTTTTTCAACAACTTTGCTGACAGAACGTATTTTTCTAGGCATGGAGTACTACAAAGCAAAACGTCGAAACGGAACCACCGAAACGAAACGGCCGAAACCACCGAAAATATAAATTACTGGAAAAATGAAAAATGCAAAAAATTAAAGTAAGAAATTCATGGAAATTTTTTTTAATTTTAAGACAATCGTGGGCAACCCAGAGGACTTTGACTATTAACCTATATTCAGAAAGTCATCTCTATTGTTTTTTGCGCAAGCGCTATTCGTCATCGATCAGCCCCTCAGCAAGTGCCCTAAACAGAATTATTCGCCCCCTAGAAAAAACACAAAAAGGCAAGACGTCAGGGGATGACTGCTTCTGTTCAGGGCACTTGTTGAGAGGCGGATCGCTGACGAACTAGCGCTTACGCAAAAAACAACAGAAATGACTTTTTGAATATCAATAGGCTCTGATCAATAGGTTGGTCAGTCTGTGCTAATGTAGTAAACGTCCTCTAGGTTTACCGCACCCCACCAACCCCCCTCCCCAATTGTCTTAAAATTTCCAAAAAAATTCCCGTAAATTGATTTCATATTTTAATATTTTTGTATTTCCATTTTTCCTGTAATGTATCGCCTCTTAGCACATGCCATTTTTCTAGAATTTTGTTGGGCCGGGCTGTGAACTCGTCATGTAACCTCATCCTTAACCTGCGATCAGGCGTGTTATCCTCATCGAAAATGCAGTACTGACATGCAGTTCCAATAGCTGGCTTTCAGGAAGCGATATACAGAGCACCAAATGTCTCAACTAACTCAACCAACATCGATTCAGTTCAGAAGTCCTCTGTATTATTAAACATTGCATGGCGCTTACTCTGTTGGCGTGGTCATAAGCAGTGAAAATTATTTAAATAACGTAGCACGGTAGCAGTTTGAACAACTGCGATCTACTAGAATTCTTAATTAAGGATTATACTTATAGTCGCCTTTGTCTTAGAGTAAAGATGATATTGCTGATGAGCAAGTTCTTGTTGCCACTATTTGCCAAACTCTCTAGCATCAGAAATGGACGGGTATTCTAGAACCTAGCCGCAGAAATATAAACCATTAAAGGAAAAGCAAAGCCATCGAATTTAAAGTCCAGCATAAATTTAATTAAATGACGACGAGGTTCGGCGCATAAAAATCACGGGGAGCAGCCAAGCACGTCGAACCTGTGTCGGAAAATACGACATGATTTCGATCGAACGTAATGGATTTAGACAGCCGCTCATTTGTCGTACTTAATTGTTGTATTAGGTTCGGCGCACGAAAATTTAAAGTTCGCCATCTAAACTGCAGGGCCTGATGTACGATCAAATGTTCGACTATTTTACGCACTGTTGAGGAATATTTGAAAATGGAAAATTCACGGCTAACTATTACAGTAATTAAACTACCGTAATTAAACTATATCGACTATCGAGCTTATTAAGTTTATTAGCTTTCACACAACCGGGGTGAAAAAGGAATGGATTATATCTTAAGCGGCAAACTTTTCTTACCTTCCTGTGCAAAGATGGACAGAGATGCAAACAAAATAACGAGAAGAAATATTCTTGTCATTGTGATTTATGTTGTGGTGCGACTTAACCGTTTCTTTCTAATTTAGTCGCTTTATATTTTATTTTATAGCCACCATTGTGGGCGGGCTACCAAGGTAGTACGTGATCTGGGCGTCACTGACGGGAACTCAGAACTCTGTGCTCCGTGTTCCCGCCCAGTGAACTTCGCACTCTGTGCTCCCCCCAGTGCTGCAATAACAAGTCCTTTTCAAAGACTACAATAACAAGTCTTTTTCAAAGACTACAATAACAAGTCCTTTTCAAAGACTACAATAATAAGTCTTTTTCAAAGACTACAATAACAAGTCCTTTTCAAAGACGTCATGCTTATTTCCATGGGCGTACCGGAAGGAAAAATTTAGGGGGGCGGAAAGAAATTTGCCCGACCTTTCCGGATTTTGCCCGACAAGTACCGAAAAAATTTTTTCCGGAATTTATTTTGGCGATCTCCCCCAACACCTCCCCGTCGCCAAAAAAATTTCGGTCAGTGTACCATTTTAAGGGTCAAAAAATTTTTTCGGACATACCAAAATTTTTCGGAACATAACAAAAATTTTCGAAACATCACAAAATTGACCACAAAATTTACAGAATTTGTCCCATTTGTTTTTATAATAAACCAAAATTGCCCGACTGTTCAGCGCATATTGCCCGACTGCCCAACAAACTGGGGAAGCTGCCGCCGCCCGGTACGCCCATGCTTATTTCGCGGCCGTCAAATTCACCGAAATGCGCCGGTGACGTCATTCGAAAAATAATTAAATTCCTTTCCTTGTTGTTGTTGTTGTTGTAACTTTCCGCTGTCTTCGGTTGGAAGATAAAATGCGTTATATGGAACGAGCGATACGATATCTTGGCAGATTGGGTTTCTCTTTGGATAACCAAAGAGCAAATAACATAGAAATGCTGTTTTTGTACCTGAATTTATGATTCATAAAATATAAACAAAGTTAAAAAACTCATTAATAATTCATGAAGAAAACGCAAAGAAAAATCAATAAGCGTGTCGTATCTGTATATATGTGATACAGATTCATGTTGATTTACATAATCTTTAACATTGATTTTCTCGGCTTAGAGAAAATTTAGTTTTAAAATTACTTCGCCAATGAACTCATAAGATTAGTCGTTTTTTAAGTTGTTTACAACATTCGCGTCCGTGTTGTATTGGATATACAAACTCTCGCCTTCGGCTCGAGTTTGTATATCCGATACAACACGGCCGCTCATGTTGTAAACATTACATATAAAACATACCGCGATTTGCCAGCATGCATATTCTTGTGAAATTGAACGGTTATGTTAGTATTAAACGCCTGTTTTATACCAACACAAAAACGGCAAACAAAAGTTATCAATAAAAAGTTTCCTAGCTAGCACTATGTAATGTTTACAACATGAGCGGCCGTGTTGTATCAGATATACAAACTCATGGGCGTACCGGGCGGGAGGGCGGCGGCAGCCCCCCCAGTTTTTTGGGCAGTCGGGCAATATTCGCTGAACAGTCAGGCAATTTTGGTTTATTAAAAAAATAAATGGGAGAAATTCTGTAAATTTTGTGATGTTTCGTGATGGGGAGGTCGTTTGTGATGGGGGGGGGGGAGGTCGCCAAAACAAATTCCGGAAAAAAAATTTTCGGTACTTGTCGGGCAAAATCCGGAAAAATCGAGCAAATTTCTCTCCCCCCCCCTAAATTTTTCCTTCCGGTACGCCCATGTACAAACTCGAGCCGAAGGCGAGAGTTTGTATATCTGATACAACACGGACGCGAATGTTGTAAACAACTTAAAAAACGACTCAGCTTATGAGTTCATTGGCGAAGTAATTTTAAAAATAAACATTGTCTAAGCCGAGAAAATCAAAGTTAAAGTTTTTGTAAATCAACATGAATCTGTATCACATATACAGATACGACACGCTTATGATTTTTCTTTGTGTTTTCTTCATGAATTATTGAGTTTTTTAATAAATATTACACACGCCTACGACTTAGAAGATTCATCGAATATCAATTCCCGTCTATATTCAGCGGCAAAGACCAGAGCTCGGATCAGAGTTGATTTCTCCACTGAATAAAAAGGTTTTCTACACAACACGGCCTCTCGCAAACGTTTTCGAAAGAATTGATCATTTCCCATCGTATTATTTTCTTATCAACTAATAAAGTATATTAGTATAAACCTACTAGTAGGCTATCACATTTCGTGCCTTCTGATTGGCTACGCTACTAGTAGGCTATTAGTGATAGCCTACTAATAAAAAATTCAAAATGGCGGAAAATTCGCGTTTTGCACTTTTGCCGAAGTGTCTGATGATTTTTTGGACGACTTGTTGAACAATTCTGTACTAAAACCCCCCGAAAAAAGCAACAAAAATATGGAATGGCCAGATTTTTAAGGGTAAGAAAATAGACAAAATAACAATGAAATTTTAAAATTAAAACTGAATTTTGTAAAACATTTTTATACGCGAACAAAAACTAAATTATATGTTTACCTTTAATGGTTTTATAACTGTTTTTTGTGTATTTTTGTATTGTGTTTGCAGCCTAGTTGTAAATTAATGTTAAAGTTTATACTAAAACAATTAGACAACTCGGCCTCGTTGTCTATGAGCAAATAGTCAACTCGGCTTCGCCTCGTTGACTATTCACTCATAGACAACTCGGCCTCGTTGTCTAATTGTTAAATAACCGCACCTATGTTTATATTCTGTAATTGGATTGAGAACTGTGGGCGAAGCAAATTTCCATTTCGTAACTTTCAGTGCGAGTACGTGACATCCGGTGAAAACGAAATGAGATATTCATCAGCGCCAGTGGTCGTAACGGTCGTAAAGATTTTCGAGTCACGATCTTTCTCATCAGCCGAAATACAACATTTTAGAACTGAAAATACGTGGAGTGATTATAACTAGAGAATACTTTATATGATTTATATGTGGTTTACAAGTATAAACTAATAAACTATTATAAATTGGCCATTGAGAGAGATCGTGACTCTGCCATATGACCATTGAGAGAGATCGTGACTCATATGCCAAAATGGAGACCAGGCTTTAAAGCGATTCGATATATTCCATTTCCATTGTATTAATGTAGAAAATCTACTGGCTTGATAAAATTCCAGCCAATGTTGATCAATGTTCTCAGACTCTCTGTGGATATTACTGCTCTGTCATTAACATATATATATATTTAATTTATCACTTGACACTGGTATTTATGTTGATGACTGGAAACGCGCGCACGCGAGGACCGCCAGTAATTCCAATTTACAAATCTGAAGATAGACGGAATGTGAAAATTATAGACCAATTTTCATGCTCCCCATTGTAAGTAAAGTATTTGAGAGAGAGATTTTTCGACAACTGTATGGCTATCTTCCCAATAACTCAATAGGGCCATTTATACGAGCGAAATAAGCCGCGGCTTAAATAAGTCGCGAACGACTCGTATAAACAGTCAATTTGCAATAAGCCGTGGCTATACTTTAGGCCTAGCTTTCAAGCCTGGGTTTATTTTAGCCGGGGCTTGCGAACAAATTGACTGTTTATACGAGTCGTTCGCGACTTATTTAAGCCGTGGCTAATTTAGGCCGACTTATTTCCGCTCGTATAAATGGCCCTATTGTTATCTAAATTCCAATCAGGGTTTAGTCCCAAACACTCAACCCTGTCTGCGTTAATTTAATACAAATGTGTGATAACTTACTTAAAAACATGGATAGTGGACAATTAAATTGTATGCTCTTTCTTGATGTTAGAAAAGCCTTCGACTCCATAAATCATGAAATTCTGGTCGATAAAATGCGTATTTTTTTCGGAGTCACAGGAAATAACTAAAATGGTAAATGGAGTCATACCTGAATAACAGAGTGCAACAATATCTCATAAATGGACAATTATCGAGCCCAAAACCGATATGTGGAGTTCCACAGGGGTCTATCCTTGGCCCACTATTATTCTTATTATATACATAAATGACACGGAAATTTATGCATCTTCTAGTTCTAATGACTGCGCTGACCTTGTCGACAAGGTAAATATATATTGATCTTGAACGGCTGCATGAATATACGCAAATGGATGATACAAAACAAACTTCAAATCCACCCCAGTAAATAAAAAAATCCGTTATTGGATCTTCAAATAACTTTAAAAATAAAGTATCTAGCAATCCTATTCTAATGTTAATAAGCCAGTATACCCAGGACTAAATATTCATGCCTTGGCGTGAATATGGACGAAAGGTTGTCTTGGGATATATTGATTCTATCTGTTCTAGGGTTGGTGCCGGTGCAATGTGACGGGTTAAACCTTTTGTATAACTGTCGACAACAAAAATGCTATATAATGCTATTGTACACAGCCCGTTATGAGATAATTGCGGAATTGGCCTAAAAGACAGTTTGCAAAAATACTACAATCGTGCTGCAAGAGTAATTACTGAATGGGACAACTTACAATATTCAGTCATTTGATTTGAAAGACATAATACATACAAACTCAGAAATAGGGAAACTGGTTTAGCACCACCTATGCCGAAAAGAGAATTCGTCAAGAGGTGTTTCAGTTATATCAGTTGTAAACTGTTAATTCTATATTTCACGCCCCTCATGGAAATCAGATTCCTAACGGTTGTTGTGGCTAGCGTGGTTAAATAAAGTTTGTATATGTATGTATATGTATATACAGAAACTAGCTTGTGTGGGAGGTGTAAGTGTGTCCGATAGTGTACCTCGGAACACCCACGAGGTACACTATCGAATGATATGGTCGATCCCTTTTTATTTTTGCGTTTTTATGGCATATATTTTTCAGATACATCACATATTTGAAAAAATCCCACGCCCACGATGATTTCGCTTCCCTTATATATTGCTGTGATGCGTTTAATTTTAAACCACTGGCACTGGTCACGCACATAAATAACACGAAGTCACGAACTAAAGTTGACGGTACTCAAAAAATGATATCATGAATTATATCGTCTAGGAATTG